GCATTTGTGGAGTGAGACCAACAGAAGGCAGTGTTCCAGAAGACACATTCTGCGCGAAGTTGGAGAGATTAAGTTTTAATTTATTGTTGTCTTACTAATTGGGTTTATATAAGTGGGACTTGTGTTTATTTGAACAGCATTTCAGTAGAATTTTGTTCAGTTAGGGAATAGTTAGGAGTTGGGAAATGTATTCGGTTTGTTAGTAATTCTGTTAATTTGCTCATTGTTAGGGTTAAATAAATAAATTGTTACTTGTTACTTATAAAGTAGATCAGGGATTTTCTTACTTTCAATACTCTTTTAACAGATTACAAGGGGTAAGGCGAGCTTCTCTGGGTGTTTCGGGTGTAATTATTAGAAGGGAACCTCTACTCACATCATAACAGATTGAGCCTTTTGTTCTGGTTTAATTAGCAGAGGGGTTTGACCTTCCCCCCCGACTTTGTAACATATGGTATTGTGTAATATACCGCAGTTAATTAGTAATCTCATAGTAAACATTCCACTGCGAACTAGTGATCATAATACAGGTCGATCCTGTACTAAATTTGCAAATTATATCTGCTTCTTCCAACGAAAAGTTTTAAAGAGGCAATTACATAAGAATGTGGACAAGGCTGGGAAAATAGAATAAATCACATGGCAATAGACAGTGAGAAGCATAAACTCTTCATCATGGTCAGCAAATTATGTTCTATTAAAAAAAAACGAGAGACCTATTTCAGATTACTCTGGAAGTTTATAGCAGTATTAAATACAAAAAAAGTGTTACAATCCCTGTACCTTTTAAAGGTAACACCGCCATAGTCCCAGAAGGTCATAGGGCTGCTCTGTCATTAAAGAGAGAGACAACTGATGGTGGTTTAACCTGAGGGTCAGCTTGCCTGAGGCAAGGGATGCAGTTGAGAAGTAACTTCAGCTGGTACAGGAATTAAATCCTGCTGTTGGCATCATGCATTGCAAACTGATCGTCCAGCCAACTAAGCTAACAAGGAATGTATGCTTTCTCAAGTGCATTGGGCATCACAAAACTTTTATAATGTTGTCAAAAATAGTATATCAGTCAGGGAACTGAGTGTGTTTTAGAAATCAGGGTCACCAAGATGTCAGTTAAACGGGAAACAAATAATGGAATGAGAGTAAACTAGCCCGAACTTTAAAAACAGTTTGGAAGAGCTTCCACAAGTATATAAGGAGCTAAACTACATGTTGATACCACCGAGGCAGATACAGGATAAGTTACCATAGGGCATGACATTGAACAGATATCTTGTGTCTGTCTTGACAGCAGAAAGTCACAAATTATAGAAATAGATAACCATGGGGCTAATAAGTGTGAGGAAATTAAAGTAGTCAATGTCAGCAGAGAAAAAAGTATTGTAGAAACATAATGTGGGACCAAGTAGCTGCAGAGATAAGAGATGTTGTAGTTGTGATTTTCCATGATTTTTGTCTTTCTAAACAAACATTCAAGATTAAAAGTTAGCAAAAGTGAGACAGCTATTGAGGAACAGAAAGAAACAATAAAATGGGGAATTATAAACCAATTAGCCTGACTTCAGTAACTGAAAAACATGGAAGCCTATTATTAAGGTTGTCTAAACAATGTACTTAGACAATCATCTTTTGGTCAGGCAAAGTCAGCATAATTTTACAAAAGGGAAATTATGCTTGACACGTTTATTAGAGGTTTTGAGGGTGTAACTAATAGGGTAGATAGAGGAACCAGGACCTGTATTATGCTTGCATTTTTAAAAGGCATTTGGTAAAGTGCCACACACAGGGTTAATATGCAAAGTAAGGAATTAGGGTAATTTATTAGCATAGACAGGTTAATGGACTGGAAACAAAGAATATGGACAAGTGGTGCATTTTCAAGTTGGCAGATTATGACAGGTGGACTGTCAAACAAAAGAGAGAAGTACAGCACAGGAACAGGCCCTTCGGTCCTCCAAGCCTATGCCGATTGCCATGCCCTGACTAACCTAAAAAACAAACCTTCTGCCCATATTCAGTCCATATCCCTCTATTCCCTTCCTAATCATTTAACCATCCAGACACCCCTTAAATGTCGCCAATGTGCCTGCTTCCACCACCTCCTCTGGCAGTGCATTCCACGCTCCTACCACTCTCTGTGTGAAAAACTTCCCTTGCACATCTCCCTTAAACTTTTTCCCTCTACCTTGAACCTGTGCCCTCTTGTAATGGAAACTTCAACCCTGGGAAAAAAACTCTGACTATCCACTCTATCTATGCCTCTCATAATTTTGTAGACCTCTATCAGGTCTCCTCTCAGCTGCTGTCTTTCCAGTGAAAACAATCCTAGTCTTTTTAACCTTTCCTCATAGCCAAAGTCCTTGAGACCAGGCAACATCCTGGTGAACCTTCTCTGCACTCTCTCCAAAGCTTCCACATCCTGCTGGTAGTGTGGCAACCAAAACTGGACATAATACTCCAAATGCGGCCTAACAAGGGTTTTATATAGTTGCAACGTGTTTTGCCAACTCTTGTACTCCATACCCCGCTGATGAAGGCAAGCATGCTATATGCCGCCTTAATCACTTTGGCCACCTGTGTTGCCACTTTTAGGGAACTGTGGACCTGCACGCCCAGATCCATCTGTATGTTAATGTTCCTCAGGGTTCTACCATTTAACAGTATAATTCACACCTAAATTTGATCCTCCAAAATGCATCACCTCGTGTTTGTATGGATTAAACTCCGTCTGCCATTTCTGTGCCCAAGTTGCGAATCTATCTATATCCTGTTGTATCCTTTCACAATCGTCAACACTATCAGCAGCTCAGCCAATCTTCATGTCATCTGCAAACTTGCTAATCAAACCATCCACATTTTCCTCCAGATCATTTATGTATACTACAAATAACAGAGGACCTAAGACTGATCCCTGTAGAACACCACTAGTACCAGTCTCTATTCTGTCATACAGCCATACAGACCCTTTAGTCCAAATCATCCAATTCAACCAGACAACTCAATCTGACCTAGTCCCATTTGCCAGCTTTTGGCCAAGATCCCTCTAAACCCTTCCTATTCATGTACCCATCCAGATGCCTTTTAAATGTTGTAATTGTGCACACCTCCTCCACTTCTTCTGGCAGCTCGTTCCATATACGCTCCACCCTCTGCGTTAAAAAGTTGCCTCTCGGGTCCCTTTTAAATCTTTCCCCTCTCACCTTAAACCTGTGCCCTCTACTTTTGGACTCTCCCACCCTGGGAGGAAAAAAAACCCTTGGCTATTCACCTTATCCATGCCTGTCATGATTTCATAAATGTCTATGAGGTCGCCCCTCAATGTCTGAGTGCTGCAAGAATAAATGCTCCAGTTTCAACTATTTACCATCTATATTAAAGAGACAGAGAAATATGTCCATAGTAGCTGAGGAAATGAAGACAGGTGGGAATGCAAGCTTTGAGGATAACGCAAAGACTGCAATGAGATACAGACAAGTTAAGTGAGTAGACAGCAAGGGACAGATAAAGTATAAAGTGAACAGGTGAGAGTTTATTTGTTTTGGCAGTAGGAATGGAAAGGAGAATATTCTTTAAAAGAGTTGAAACTTGTAAGTGTTGATGTTCAGAAGGAAATGGGTGCACTTATACCAGAAACATGCATTATGGTCTATTCAGCCCACAAGCATGATCGAAAACTTCCTGTTTCTTGTCATTTCAATTCTCCATCTTGCTCAGAATCTGACATTTCTGCCCCACTGTTCCATATTAACTAAATCCAAGCTGAAGGAACAGCACTTCATTTTTTGACTTGGCACTGAGCTGTCTTCCAGACTTGATATTGAGTTCAGCAATTTCAGATCATCAACCCTGCCTCCATCTTGTTTCTCCTTTGCTAGTTCTCTCTTATTTCATTTTGTTTCTTTATTTCCTTCCTTCATATTGCATTCAGATTGGCCTATAGTCTCTGTAATCTATAAGACTGAGATATACCAGATTCTGAAAAGGCCTGACAGGACAGGCATGGAGAGACTGATTTCCCCTGGCTAGCAATCAAGACCATGGCAGTTCAGTCTCCGGATAAAGGGGCCAGTCATTTAGGACCGTCAGTCTTTGTAATTCTCTGCCCCGTAAGGTTTTAGATCTGCCATCATTGGGTATTTATTTATGGCTGAGAGATTTTGGTATCAGGCAGTTACGAGGGGCAGGTGAGAAATGGAGCTGAAGCGAATGATTGGGCGTGATTGTGCTAAATGGTAAAACAAGCTCTACAGGTTAAATGATTGCCTCCTGTGTTGACCCCTCTTCATATGTAAAACATGTTTAGTACATGAACTCTCATCCTCTGAACTCCACGATTGAAATTCTATGTTACATTGACTTGTAAATATAAGTTTAGGACGTAGTTCATTACCTTAGAAATGATTGCCTTTCTTGTTGTGCCTTTTGTCTGTTGCCATTTCAAGATGCTGTTAAGTGGCAATAGGTTTTGAATTGGAATGATTACTGCCAGGTGTCAGAAAAAAATATCACACCAGTTTGCATGAAATATTGTATCAAATTACATATCTGCAAAGTACACAATCTGTCTGGTTTATAATTTGTCGCTCCATAGGCCATAAATTACTGTTGAAAATGTAGCAAAGGAAGACTTGACGCATTCTAATAAGATTTCTCTCCGCAATTTTAATGGATTGATGCGTCTGCCAAAACAGGAAAGTTATGCAAGTACATTAAGCATTAGTCACAGATACTGTCATCAGTTACTTCCAAGCATATGTTGCTTCAAAATTACTTTGTTACTTTTACTATATATTGATGAAAGTTAATTAGGACCTAATGTTTATTTCTGATGATTCAAGTGGCACTGTTATTTCTGCGCGATGCCTTAATATTGACAATAGAGCATTATGCTTCTCCCTCAATAAATGAGAAAAGGTCTGTCAACTTCAGTGCTGTTTATAATGGTGCATGAAGCAGTTTTGATAAATACTTGCATCTAATGTCTCACATTCTTATTTGTGCAGGGATTTTGCCTATGTAGCAAGAGATAAAGACACACGAATCCTAAAATGTCATGTGTTCCGATGTGATACACCAGCAAAGGCCATCGCAACAAGTCTTCACGAAATCTGCTCCAAGGTGAGGGCAAATTTCTATCAGCTCAAAAGTCCACCTATGCTACTGGATTCACTCCCCTTGAATGGTGTTCACAACATTTAGCATTTCTGGGTTGTTTTTTATAAAGTATGCCTTTCCAGTTATAACCAAGGGTGTATCATGTACCAGAAACACCTTCAACTACTTTCCATTGTGAGCTGCTATAAAGAGAAAAAAGAACAGTGTTTGTTGAAATAATTTGACATTTGTGTTTTGTTTTCTGATACCTATGGCGGTTCTTCCCAAATGTAACTCTATTTTGAGGCATATAAATTGATCTGATGGATAAGTGAAAACTGCAAAGGGAAGGGACACCTGTGAGAAGGAAGGGTTCCTGTGTAAATGGGGACCTATCTGTTAATGTGGGACACCATTGTTATAACACAGTCAGAGCTCCATGGTGGCCATTACTGCCTTGGAGCTCATGAGCCCAGAAATTCAGCGCGTAACACATTTGTCAACTTCTTTGGGAAGCCATGGCCTAGAGGATAAAGCATAATCTTTTAAACAAGTCATTTACATCAATAAAGATGTAGGGTTGGAAGGGTAGGAGAGGAGGAGTTGGAGTCATGTTCACTTACCCCAGTATATAGGATAAATCATGAACCTAGTAAACAATGAGAGTGGAAGGTCTAAAGATTAGCAATCAGGTCTAAGGCATTGGAGTTGCATTACTGATAGAATGGCATGGAGATACGGACTGCAGATATAATAGAACTGTAGCTATGATGTAACTAACTTTGATGAAAGCACCACAACCCAGTGGCCCTACTAAGTGCAACTTGGAATTTCTCGTTTTTTAAAGAAGAGTTTCAACCCTGCTAAAGAAAGAAAAAACAAACAAACATTACCCATTATGTTGCTCTTAAAATGGTGTGCAGCATTCCCAAATACTGATGCTAAGGTTCCACAGAAAATCAGGAGCAAAAGACTTTACAACAAATCAGTATCTGAGTCCTTTGCTTGAGGAGTCATTCATATCATTTAAGTGGAGGCTGATGGCTTAACATTGTGAACAGAGTTTATGTGCAGAGAATACTGACAACAATCTGTGATGCCTTTATGCGAAGTTAATTGTGAAATCAGAATAGAAATTTTGCATTCATTGTATAATCAAATTAATAACTTGGTGCATGAAGGACATGTAAGCAATACTCAATGCTGTTCTGGTTTGAAATTTAACACTGTTCTTAAATAGTCTAAAACATTCTTTATCCAAGATTCTGCAGTTTTGTGACCCTGATATTTGAATAGTTCATTTGCACAAAAGCTTACAGATGAGTCGGTAATGTTTCCTTACTCTTACTGTTATTTATGTACCTTCTGAGGCCCCACTACTTCTCCAATCAGTTTACAAAAAAAGGCACTTGAATCTTTTTGATATCTAATTGACTTTGGAAATTATTAGGAAAGATTAATATGAACTTCACAGCTTCTCTTCCTTTCACTAACTCACTAGGTTCTCCCCTGCCTGACACCTGCAATCTTTCCCTAGGTTCTCTCGTGGCCTCACAAGCTGACCTTTCCAAGATCGTCTTGTCCAAGGGACACAACTGCTTATATAACCCTATTTCTGCCAAACTACTAACCACTCAGATTTCCTTTCTGAGCCCCCCATTAGCTGAGATTGTTAGCAAATGCCTCTCATTTCCTCCATCCCTTCAAATCTGCTGTTATCGCCAATCCCCTTCCCTTTTGACTGCTGCTGTGTTGACTCTGTAGTCCCTGAATTCAATTAATTAAAATATCTGGAAATTAAAAGCTAGAATTACCAGATTCTCATAGAAACTTCTAGAAAGAAACTCTACGATGTTTACTCAATCTGACCTCCACGTGACTCCAGATCCACAAGAATGTGGTTGACTGCTGAATGCTCTTTCAAGTAGCCTCGCCAGCCACTGTTGTATTCACAGTATATCACTGTGACCTTCTCAAGGATATTTGGAGATGAGTAATAAATTGTGACCTACCCTCCATTGCAGAATTATTTGTTTTAGAAAAAAGCATAGTCCTATTCCATACCTCCTCTCTGTTACTCTCTCTCACTCTGCCTCTCCCTGTCAACTTCATGTACTGCTACAAACCTTTATCCATGTCTTTGTTTCCTTTTTGACTTGACTACTCAAAATCTTTCTTGACTGGTCTCCCATGAGCACATTCCATAAACTTAATTCATCCAAATCTCTGCTCCCTCCTTTATTCTAATTTGCACTGATCACCCAACAGCCATATGTTGATTACTCTGCTCCTATGATGCTGCTTGGCCTGCTGTGTTCATCCAGCCCTGCACCTTGTTGTCTCGGATTCTCCAGCATCTGCAGTTCCTACTATCTCTGTTGATTACTTCTATTGGCTTTCAGTCTGACAACACCTCAATTTTTAAAATTCTCAACTTTGTTTTCAAATTCCTTTGTGGCCTCATCCCTCACTATTTCTGTACCCTCTTCCAGACTTATAACCCTCGGAGATATCTGTGCTGCATTAACTGCAACCCCAGTATTAATGGCTTCAACTGTCTTGACCCTAAATTCTGGAATTTCTGATCTATGACTCCTTCAAAGTTCTCCTTAAATCTAATCTGTTGACCAGCTTTTGATTACCTGGTTTAATATTTCCTAGCTTGACTCAAATTGTGTTTGATGATAACATGCGGGAAGCTCCTTGGGATGTTTTACTACATCAAAGATTTTATGTAAATTTCAGTTGTTTTAAATGACAGTCTGTCAGAATGTAAATTGGTATAAATATGTTGTTATGATTGATGGTTTAAAACATTTTAGTTCTTTGTCTTTAATAATTTGTTAATGTATGATATTCCTTTGAAGAGTGATTAAATATTAAAGCCAACAAAGCAACTTGAGAATGTATAACATTCAAATAGATGACAAATTAATCTTGTACCGCAGTTGAATAGCTTGTCAGGACATGTTGATTATGCCAGGAAATATGATTATTATACCATTGTTGTTTCTCCCACCACTAAGCAGAGATTCTGTTTGTAACAGACTGTACTTTTAGGACACATTATCAAAGTGAGGGTCTGTTGAATGGCATAGTCTGTTCAGTGTTCTTGTTTGTGTTTAGCAGGTATGAACATGAAAATGGTGTTTCGCACTATTGGAATTACTATTATGTAATGTTGATGTTTTACTTATGATTTATATAATGTACAGTTCGACATTACTTCCACCTGAAATTCAGAATGACTGTAAGACAAACTTGGTACAATGTAGTCTAATTTACTATGCAAGTTGGAGAAAGTGACCTGGATTTTCCACTTGACTACACAGTTTTTATGCTTTTTTTCTGGTTTGACTCGTGTAAAAGATTGAGGATTTCTAAGTGCAAATTGTATTCAATGCAAATCACAATTTTGAGTTCTTTATAAGAACATGGCAACACCAGATGCCCAACCCACCCCCAAGCTGCCCCTGCCCTTTGGGGGAACTCATTGCCCTTTAGCATTTCTACTAATTGGGGTAATTTTTGAAGCCTCTCCAGATGAAGCTGAAAATATAGTTTCAAAGACACCGAAAGGTTTTGAAAAAGTTTATTTTTGTTTAATAAGGAACTTTTGTTGTATCCCAATTTAGTTTGATTTGTTAAATGTTTTAGTTTGTTAAAGACATGTTTTAAGTAATTTTCAGCCATTTAAAATGCTTATTCCTTGTGATAAAACAATTTTCTATGTATTAATAACATGTTACCAAGTTGCCATTCCTGAACATATCAAGTAATGTTTTTAAAACAAAATTACATTGAAAACTCTTTCAATTGCAGTTATTCAGGGCAGATTTGGAGTTTGGTGATATATCCAAACCTGAGCAGAAACTCAGGCGAGGGAGTGAGACATGCTTGTCAAAATGGATGACTTACTCCCGATTGTGCCCAAAGTAGAAACTACTCCTCGACCTGCATTACATAAACTACAGTGAATGAGACCAAATGGGCTGCTCAATAGAAACCCCAAATTTTGCTTCCTAAATGTATTGGAAATTAAATGTGGATAATTTTACATGTACCAGTAACTTATTATTAGTAGGCCAACAGTTGTTTAGATTAAATTTTTTTTATTCATTCACAAGATGTGCGCATCACTGGCAGGGCCAGTATTTATTATCTGAGCTTAATTGCCCTTAAGAAGGTGTTGTTGAGCTGTGTGCTGAAACTGCTGCAGTGCATTTGGTGTAGGGGCACCCACAATTCCCTTAGGGACAGAGTTTTAGGAGTTCCAGTGACAATGAAGGAACGGTGACGTAGTTCCTAGTCAGGATGGTAAATGGCTTGGAGGGGAACTTGCAGGTGATGTGCCGGCTGCCCTTGTCCTTTGAAATGGTGGTGGTCATGGTTTTGGAAAACCATGTCTAAGGAACCTTGGTGAATGTCTGCAGTGCATCTTGTAAATAGTGCACAGTGCGGCTGATGAGCATTGGTGAGAGAGGGAGTGAATGTTCATGGTGGTGATGCCAATCAAATGGAATAGCGTTAAGCTTTTGAGTGTATTCGGATCTTATGTATCCCTGTAACATTTTTTTAAGTCAAATTTTGAAGATATTGAGATTGGAATGTATGAATTTTTTTTTCTTTTTATTCATTCATGGATGAGGGTGTCACTGGCCAGGCAGCATTTATTGCCCATCCCTAATTGCCCACAGGGCAGTTCAGAGTCAACCACATTGCTATGGGTCTGGAGTCACATGTAGGCCAGACCAAGTAAGGATGGCAGTTTCCTTCCCTAAAGGACATTAGTGAACCAGATGGGTTTTTCCAACAATCAACAATGGATTCACAGTTATCATTAGATTCTTAATTCCAGATATTTATTGAATTCAAATTCCACCATCTGCCGTGGCAGGATTCGAACCCGGGTCCCCAGAACATTATCTGGGTCTCTGGATTAACAGTCCAGCGATAATACCGCGAATGCCATTGCCTCTCAATCAAAACTTGATTCCAGTAGTATAGCAGTAGATTAATGTCTCTTTGGACTTTGTTGAGCTGTTTTGCTGTTGTGGCTGCGCTCACCAGGATGAATGTTGACTGTTCCATCGAATACCTGACTTGCCTGTTGCAGACACGGGAAAGGCTTTGAAGATTTAAGTGATGAATCATTTATTAGTTTCTGTCACTGCCCTAATTCAAATTCTGGTCAGTGCTGGCACCCAAGATTTTGACAGTGGTTACCTTGACAATCTGGCAATAGTAGAAGGCCCTTTTTCCCAACCACAGGTCAGATGGCATTGCATTATTGGCATTTTCCTTACTATAAGGAAGGCAAATGGAATATTGGCCTTTATTCTAAATGGAGTGGAATATAAAATCAGAGAAGTTTTGCTAAAACTATACAAGGCACTAGTTTGACTACAGCTGGAATACTGTAATCAGTTTTGGGCCCTTATCTAAGAAAAAATGTACTGGTATTGGAGGCAGTCCAGATAAGGTTCTCTAGGCTGATATCAGGTATGGAGGGACTGTCTTATTGGGAGTAGTTGAGTAGAATGGGCCTGTACACATTGCAATAAAGAAGAATGAGAGGCAACTGAATTGAAACATACAAGATTCTTAGGGGACTTGCCAGGGTAGATGTGGAGAGGTTGTTTCCCTTTTAGGAGAGTATAGGATAAGAAGGCATAATCTCAGGGAACACTTTTAAGGTAGATGAGGAGGAATTTCTTTTCTCAGAAGGTAGTGAATCTGTGGACTGTTTTTGCTGCAGAGGGCTGTTGAGGCTGGGTTATTAAGTAAATTCAGGACTGAGATAGAAATATTTAAACAGTAAGAAAATCCAGGGTTATTGGGAAGAGGCAGAAAAGTGGAGTTGAAGATTATTAGATCAGCCACAATCTTATTGAATAACAGAGCCGACTCGATGAAGAACCTATTTATGTTCCTACGTTTTATAGTCTGTTGGCCTTACTTTAGTCATAGCAACCTCAAGATTCTTGTGGAAGAAAGAGATTGGCGTTGAGGAAGTATTTTAGAAAGGTGGTGGGATCAAGAATTGGTTTTTGAACAGAAGATGGAAAATCTGACACCAAGAGGAATAATATGCGAAGATAAAGAGCCATTAAAATATCAGCTAATATGGAAGGAAGGGAAGTTGAAAGATCAGCAGTTTATTGGGAATAGGATTGGGAGAGCAGGGGTGGATCTCGTGTAAGAGATGAGTTCAGATTTTCTTTTTATTCATTCACGGGATGAGGGCATCGCTGGCTAAGCCAGCATTTATTGTCCATCCCTAATTGCCCAGAGGGCAGTTATGAGTCAACCACATTGCTGTGAGTCTGCAGGTAAGGATGGCAGTTTCCTTCTCTAAAGGACAATTGGCAATGGATTCATGGTCATCATTAGACTCTTAATTCCAGATATTTATTGAATTCACATTCCACCATCTGCATTGCAGGATTCGAACCCAGGTCCCCAGAATGTTATCTGGGTCTCTGGATGAACAGTCCAGTGATAATATCACCAGGTCATTGACTTACCCATGGGCATGAAGGAGATGGGAGAGACACTAGAGAAGAAAATCAAGTTCACAGCTAGAGCAGGGAGCGGTTCCAAGGAGGAGTGACTTGCTGGACGAGGGGAAGAGAGGAAAACTTGTAGAGGGTCTCAGTCTTGGTGACAAAGCTTGTGAGCTGCTGTCACGTGGCATTAGATAGAAAGGTGAAGGAAATGAGGGAAAGGGATGTATGAAGGCATTTTGCAGTAGAGAAAAAGAGGAAAGGGGACTATCTTTGCATTCGAAGATGATATTGGAATAGTGAGTAAACCAGGAAAATACAAAAAGAGAGCAAAATAACAAGTGCCATGTTCATATGTGTTAAATAAATCTACACTCAAGAGGGGATTAAATTTTGCAAGGTGCTATTTGAAGACACAAAGCAATAGAATTATCTTGTTACTGTATGGGACCGTGCTGTACAATGCAAATTAGCTGCTGTGTTTTGTTTTAAAATTGCAGCAATGTATTTATTTGAAACTAATCCTACGCCTACTGTGTCACCATTACAGACACTGTAAACCATTAAAGGTTTATATAAATGCTCGTTTGTTCCCTTTAATTTCTTTTGCTGAGCTGTTGGCAACTAATGCTTCAAATGATAACTAATGGGTTTTTTTTCTGCAGATTATGGCAGAACGAAGGAATGCCAAAGCTGTGGCTTGCAGTATCTCTCAGGAGCGAGTCAATATGAACCTTGACGTTCCTCTACAAGGTAATACTCTTTACCGAACTAACAGTCCATTTCCATGTTTTTAGCCTTGTTCAATGGTAGCGCAATGGAAGCCAATTCAGAAGGGTATGTGTTCACTCCAACAATCTGAACATGTAACCTGGACTGTCTAATGCAGTGCTGAGGGAGTGCTACCTTGTAACTGTCATCAATGGCATTAAAAACAGGCTCCTTCTGTCCTTCCCAACAATTCAGTATTATTTCACAGAGCAGGGGCTCTAATATCTTGGCAAATACTCGTCCCTCAATCAACATCACAAAAGAGATTACTTGATCATTTATGTTATTCTGCTTATAAGATTTTACTGCATGCAGATTGGCACCCACGGTTCTGACATGATGACTTCAGAAGTACTTCTTTGGCTGTAAAGCACTTTGAAATTTACTGAGGTTATGAGAGGCTTGTATTTTCCTTTCGTTTTTGTCAATAACTCTATTTGTAAATCTTAATGTGTCAGTTACATAAACCCAAAAAATATCAAGAGCTGATCCTGAAAATGAGTGGAACAAACCTCAAGTCAAAACATTTTGACATAAATTGTAATCTGAGTTACTCAGAATATAGTTGGATTTAAGAAAATAATTAATCCGTGTCCTTAAAATATAAACAAATCTCTGATCATAACAATATGCTGCAATGAATGATATTTGTAATTACATTTACAGCATTGGAGTATTAATGTTGCATCTATTTTTGCAAATTAATACCTCCTGTGTAATTGGAGGCAATTATATTGTTTTTTTTATTTTTATAATCCTGTGAAAATGTTAATCCAGGATTACAGTGGTCCAACAGTGTGTTGGTTTTGAGCATTAAGGTTTTTATGTATTTATTTCAGTTTATAGTCAGAGCTTTGGGCTGCCTGTTAAGCTTCCTGAATAATAAACAGAGTTGGTTAACTCAGTTGGCTGGACAGCTGCTTTGCAAGGCAGCGTGATGCCAATAGTGTGGGTTCAATTCCCATACCTGCTGAGGTTACCAGGAAGGACTCTTCTTCTCAACGTTTCGCCTTGCCTGTGGCATGGTGACCCTCAGGTTAATCCACCACCAATCATCTCCGTCTAATGAAAGTCTGGAAAGACTATGGTAACTTTACATTTTTATTAATAATAATGGGGAGGATTTTCAAGTTAATAAATATTCAAGCAGATAGGGCCAAAGGGCCTGTACTGTGCTGTACTGTTCTATGTTCCATGTTGTATAACTCTGGTGTCTATAAATTGCACAAATGACACGCATGGAGGAGAAAATATAATTTGACGTGCCTAAACTTGTTTGTGCTCTGTAGTAGATTTCCCAACACCAAAGACAGAACTGGTACAGAAGTTTCACGTTCAGTACCTGGGTGTGTTGCCTGTGGCCAAACCATTAGGTAAGGTGTCATGGATTAAAAATATCAGAGCTATTGTCACCTTTGTTGCAAATAAAATCAGGACAAAAGTATAGCTAGGCATCACTTTTAATGCGTATGCTAGTATGTTTTATTTTAAAGAATAAGAAATGGTATTTTTGTACTCTTTACATTTGCATATGCATGGTATTTAGAAATAAGTACAAATATAATGTAATTGAGAGAGTGTTTTTTTTTAAAAATGAGACTTAGAATGGTAGAAGTTAACTACATCACCTGGAAGAGTTAGGAAAACTAAAATGTTGAAGTTCTCAAAATCAAACTGAAACTACTAACTTCATGTTTAAATGGAGGTAGGGCAGAGAATAGGACCAATCGCACTCAAGAAAATGTTTGAAAATAAGCTGCTTAACTTCACTTTATTTTACTTTCTAATTTTAATACCTGGAGGCCATTGTGGTTAGCGCTTCTGTGAACACCCCTAACTGTAGGGCATTTGCAGGATAACTCCTCTCCTCCCTCTCTGTTGCCAATCTGATTTTGATCAGACGATTAGTCTGACTTCAAATGATGAAAAATCATTTTTTAAATTAAGTAAAAGGCATTCCCACAATGTCTGTTTTACCCCATATATGCCCTATTTGATATCACATTTACCCAGCACATATGAACTTTAACTATCCTGCCGGACGACCATCCAATCAGTCAGACTGACAGGGAACGTGCTGAAAAATGTATAAAATATTCTGTGGTTGAATTCAGCTGGATGTGAGAGAAACCCTTGCCTATATTTCCCAATTAAAACACTTTCCTCTAACCCCCTACCCTAACCATTAAATTCTGTTCAACTCTAATCCTAGTTCCAAGTAAATGTCAGCACCTTGTATGGTAGAATATTGACTTACCTTGCACTTTTCTGCTGTGATTGATAGGTATAGAAATACTGAATGGCGCAATTGAGAGTTTGCTGACCACAACTAATAAGGAAGACTGGATGTCTGTTATTATGAATGTTGCTGATGCCACTGTTACAGTAATAAGGCAGAAGGTGAGTCATGGAGCCATGTGTTGGCCATTTCTGAAGAAGGGTCTAGGCCCAAAACGTCAGCTTTCCTGCTCCTCTGATGCTGCTTGGCCTGCTGTGTTCATCCAGCTCTACACCTTGTTATCTCAGATTCTCCAGCATCTGCAGTTCCTACTAGCTCTTCTGTGAATATTTGTTCAGTTTTGTTTTGTTGAGATGCATTTAAATAGTGTTAAGTACAATAATTCATATAAATCATTGATGATAAAGTTATCCTGCTTCTATGAAAAGAGAGATTTTCCCATCAAACTTTTGTGAGATAATTCTGTGAATGCTGGCTTTTGGAGTGCTAAATAATTTTCAATTTATCTCTCATTCATCTGGTGATTAAAGTCAGTGTCACTGGACAATTGTTCAAATTTTAATCTCCTGCTTTGCTAAAATGTTTCCATCTGACTAAAATTGATAAAGAGAGAAAAAGCCCATTTTCGTCCTGTATATGACAACTATTTCTATTATTTTTCTTTATCCACCTGGAACAGGATGAAGATGAGGTTTTGTTGGAATGCCGTGTTCGTTTCCTATCATTTATAGGAGTGGGGAAAGACATCCATACCTTTGCCTTTATTATGGACGCCGGAAATCAACGTTTTGAGTGTCATGTCTTCTGGTGTGAACCAAATGCAGGGAATGTATCAGAGGCTGTGCAGGCTGCGTGTATGGTGTGTAGCGTTTTATTTCAGTTTTTGACAACATGCCTAGTTATAAAAGTATGTCAAAGTTGCAGTGTCCCTTAAAGTCAGCTAATAGGTTTGTGAAAAGTAAGAAATTACTTATGAAACCTCGAGTATGTGACACAATTCATTGGTCATACTGCAGTGTTTTCATGCAAGACCAAGAACTCATGGCTCATGATTTGTTGAATCTGCTGGAATAACTTCAGCTATGTTTTTTCTAACTTCTCGAGTGACAGAAATTTGCATCATAGCCAGTTGCCACATGCCAGAATAATCTTTAAACAAGGTTTCCTTTTTTGTTTTGTATTTATCACAGTATGACCAACATTTTGGTTAGTCTTCATCTTTAACATTTCTTTTATTTTTGACAGCTCAAATAGTTTCAGCTGCTTAATGCATCACAGCTAACCTCTAATGTACTACATGTTCACTATTTTTTACGTGTAATTTTTATCTCCCATTTTAGTTTGTGTTAAATCTTAAATTTTAAATCGAAAAGGTTAACATAGCAAGTTGAACTACTTTCAAATAAATTATTTTAATGGTTGTCAAATGGTTATATTTAATCCTCCACCTTTTCTGGCTGGTTATCTTAAGAAGAAAATGACAACTAATTGTATTAATGCCTCTTGTTTTGCAGCTTCGGTACCAGAAATGTTTAGTAGCCAGACCTCCTCCTCCAAGGATGTGCTCTTCCGGTCCTCCAACAGACTCTGTGACAAGACGCGTCACAACCAGTGTAAAACGTGGAGTTTTGTCCCTCATTGACACTTTGAAACAAAAGCGACCAGTATCTGAATCACCATGAAGAGGATTGAAAAGATCCCTTTAGATACTAGTCTAGGAATAACTGAGATAACACAACATGATCCATGCAGATGTTGAGCCTTCAAGTTATATATGCTGATCCTCTTCTCTTCAACATATATTGTTTAATGTTAAAATTAATGTAAGACGAGCATGTTGTCTCATTCCTCATCATGACATGTTGGGAGGCGCATGAATAACTTTCTGCTATCAACGTTTGAATTCACTAACCAGTGGAAGGTATCTGGAATTCTATACGCCCTGGACTAAATGGTGCCCAAGCAGTTTGTCTCATTGTCATTCAGACTGGAATTCTCACAAACAACCTTACACCAGAAGTATTTACTAGTGCACTTATTCTGTCACTAACACTGGTGTAACATAGTGGTGTTTAGACTATAATAGAACTGTTCCCTTTCAGTAAGTAGTTTCCTTTTGGCCATTGCAGTTGTGTGATCCTGTGTCCTGACTTATAAGGTGATCGAAAATGATCTCCAGTTGCTCTGCTGTTTGTTGTCTATGAAGGAAGTGCTAATTAAAACAAGTTAAACTAATGTTGAAACATAGAGGTGTGCAGCACACCAGTTTCATCAGCTTTCATAAGCTCATTTCATTAATCATTGTCCTAGCCACAAGATGTACATTTTCCCTGTAACATAGAACAATATTTAGCCATAAAGCCATAAAAGTTTATTAAGTCCTATGAATATTTTTTTAGAAAACAGAAAAGGTTTACTAATTAATTTTTAGTTACTGTATTAGCTTTTAATCACTTAAAACTTTACAGTTTTAATAATCAGAAGCCATTTGTAGGATATATTCTTTGCTGCTTGGGCCATTTATTGATGAAAGCTGCATTATTGTTGTATGCAGTGTAATTTGGAAATATGCCAAGAATACCTGGGAGTATTTCAACCTGTCAGACTGGTGGCTATTTGTATTAATTGTTTGTTTTTGGCTTGCTGTACTGGATAATAAAGATGTCAGTAGTTTTCTTCTGCTTTAAGGTGATGGAGTGAAAGAAGAAGGCATGTATGAAACACCTTAATAGAATTATGAATTAGTCTTTTTCGAGCATTCAGCTCCTAGAATAAGGAAAGTTAGAAAGCCTATGTGTCAACTGCCCTAATAAGGAACCTGTCAAAACTACTAAATCTTTCAAAAGTTCACATAAACAATGAGGTATTTGTTTATAAAAGTAAAGTCAGTTTAATTCCTTACATGACTGTCAATTGTAATGTAAATGTTGTCACCAAATTGCTAGTTCAAATTTCTGTTAGCATTTTCTAATGTCAAATATAGGAGAAAGGTTTGAGTTCAGGTCTGAAGGTAAATCTGAAGGCAAGAAAAAGAAAGTGATACATTTCTATCATCATTCAGCTGGTGAACTAGAGGTGTGTGAGATGGATCAGTGCAGATAGAACTCATCTGAGCTGAAAGCTGTGGATAGAATCACATCTAGTTTATGGAGAATATTGAAGTATTGCTAATGCGGAAATCAGGCATCAGCAACAGGGGTTGAAGATTTCTTCTAAATGCGACTGAAAATGTACACAATAAATAATTTGACCAGGGGAATGAACCCAAAAGGCTAGTACAGATATCACTTCACAGTTATGTTTCTTTCAGGTTGGCAGCAGGTATTAATAATGCTCTTTAGTCATGCTTTTCAAGAAATCCCAGTTTCACTTCCTGTTTTAACTGCTCCAAAAGGTGTTGCATGGCTTCAAAATCAGTTAATCTTAATGTTTATTTTCTCTAGTTTCATGCTGCATTTGAACACAATGTAAATATTTCACTGCTCGCAATGAGTTCAGAAAAACAAAATCGTATTGTGAGCTCCTACTTTAAAATTTACTGTTGGGAAGAAAGTGGTGTCACAGGTACAGTGGTAGTTGTTTTAATTATAAGGTTTTCAAGCTGCAGATATACAAGTTGAAGCTGTGCATTATTTGCAAATAGAGGAACATTGTGTGTTACACCAGGGGTCACAAACATTTGTGCAGTGCTTTTACAAAATATTTATAACTAATGCACATTTCAGCAAAGCCAGGTCTGTGATTTAAAAGAAAATCAGGCTGGATTTGACCAAATGGTATGTCTTTGCAGGAGTTTTTGTCAATTTGTTAAAACAACCTATTATTTAAACCAGTTTTGTTTGTTCCTATAAAATGCAAGACTTGTAGAAGAATCAGTACTTTTTTTTATTTTTTTAATGAGTAGACATGCTTGTTGTAACTAGATTATAAATGTTATCTATGCATCCATTATAAGCAGTGGCTTTCTAGACAAATTGCTTTGTCACTGCTCTGCATGCCATATAGATATTTTAAGCAAAACAGCAAGTAAACTTTTTTAAAAAAAGGCAAATTAATGAAAATATTTTTTATTTTATTTATTATATTTTATATTGAATTTATCTCATAATTGAGTTGTATTATGTTCTACTGTCAGTTCTCACATTGTAGCTAGTTAATTTCTAAATAATGTAGACTGACATGATGATAATTAAACATTCTTTGTTCTTATTCTGTCCTTACAATGAGCCAAAGTACTGTTGTGATAGAGGAACAAAGCCAGTTTCAAGCTGATTTTGTTGATGATAATTGTAGGTATTGAAGTATCAGGAGTTTACCAGATAGGCTGCCATTGATATATCCCTTTGTGCTTCCCAACAATACCCGTTTTACATGTTATTTTCATTACCTACCAACTGGCTAAAATGTTGATTTTGTTTTGGCGGGGCGGGGAGAGGAGAAATGGGGAGGTGTTTATTGTGCAAGACCCTTGCAGCTTCAAAAATAATTTCATTCTATGTACATTAACTGATGTTTAACGTATTCTGTTTTTGTGCCTGACTTTCTCATTGAAACGAGGTAAATAATATAGAATGTAGTCGTGGTGTCCCTTTTTGAAGGTCTTCTGTAGGAGCAAACAGCTTCTTTTCATCTAACTTGGCCTCTGCCTTTGAAGATATTTTTAATCAACCTGTTCAGAGATGTTAATTACACACCTCTTGAGTAGGTGGGACTTGAAACTGGGCCTCCTGGTCCAGAGCTAGGGACACTCACTCTGCACCACGAGAACTAAACTGTTCGCATTTGAAAACCTTGCTCATGAGGCTAATGTGTGCACAAATTAATATCAAGGATATAAGGGTCATTTCACCAATTCTTACCTTTAACCTGAAACACTGCACTTCAGCAAGAGTGGAGCACAGAATTAATTCTTGTGTTCAGTTTTGCCTCCCCACAAGGAAGTCTTGCTTGTGAGTGCAGGATGGCCGATTTTGCCTCATATTCAAAATATATGATTGGTAATGCATACTTAAATTGGATTAGTTTTTTTGATAGTTTTGGATCACAGAGTTGCACTGCGGTCAGTAGTAGCAACAGTCTTAAAATTATAGACGTTGCAACCTACCTGAGTCTGGTATTCTCAAATCAGACGGTTGGTGTACATACAAGCTGAGGCACATTTAAAACCATTACTGCTCGGACTTCTCATTTTCTGTTGCGCCTAAAGAGAAAACTGACTGTGTTGCCTTAATAACTAAATAGACAGTGTTTCATTGGCAGACCAGGACGATCAATCAATTTGCAGATCATTAGATAACCTGCTCTTATAAACCCAAAAGTGCAGTGAAAGCCCATTGAATTGACTTGGTGCCCATGTCCTGCATAGTGCACTGTTAGTGCACAGCATAGTAGACACAGCAAGTACAACATAAGGTTTTCTTTCTCTTCATTTGGAACTCCTTGTTAAAAGTGACTGGCATTCTACATTCCAACAGTTACTACATGGTTGATAATGACCTCTGTTGAAACTGCACATTTAGCTTTGATATCAACAGCCATCTAACCTGTTTCATCTTAAATTGAGTATGTTGTATTGTTAAAATCCTGAGCTGTGTAGCTCAGCAACCACTGAAGCCTCTGATATTTTTCTTTTTATTTTAATCCTCATAATTATGTACACTTATTGCTATGGAAAACGATCTATGTTAAAGCTGTCCAGTGGGCCATTAAGCAGGTGATTTACAGTACAGTAACTGTTCTCTTCTGCTTCCCACCGATTTTACACTTGTAAATGTAATCCGTTGTGAGAGAATAAACTGCATAACCAGTATGCTTAATTCTGCCTCTGATTTTGCTACTGATCACACAAAGGAAAATGTTCCATTATTGACAGCCAACAACACTTTCTGTTATTTGTATGTCTTTCAGAGACTATCTACTTCCACTCTTGGTCTGCAACACAAACTGAAATCCACACCTGGAGCCAAACGTAACATATGGAAAAATAAAATCTGCTGTCATTTGCCAGCTTAGATGTAACTCATTTTAAAGAATGATATACCATCTTATTTACTTCCTTGAAAGTCTTTTTGCATTTCAAAAATAAACTATAAATCATTCAAAATCTGACAACTTTAAAAAACATTTTAGAATCAACAAAATATAGAGCTGCTTGAGGATTGGGCTTTTTAATTAACCTGTTAGATGTTATATCAGATCTCTGGAGCAGGTAGGACTTGCAACCAAACCTCCTGGTGCAGAGGTAGGAACACTACCACTGCAACATAAGAGCACCATGTATGACATGGAGTTTGAGAGGTAATGCACTAAAAAGAAAGTGTTTTGTGGCTTTGGATACTGTAGGTATGTTTTCAAATCTTTGGGTATATAACTAATCTTATGGATTAGCTGCCTACTGTTTTCATTTTCACTGGAATTGAATTTGAAACCTGGATGTTACATTAAAGATTTGTTCATTCCAAACACTTGATTGATGAAAACCTAGTCAGTTCTTATCTACTAACTTGAGAAAGGGCTATCATGACTCACCAGTGAATTGTATATACTGCTACAATATCAGTGAATGTCACACCCTCAGTAATTGATATGCACCCAGGAAATGGTATTTCAGCCTGTTCTTGCGCATCTTTATTTGGCGCTTTCACAGCAACAATTTGTCAATTGCTGTAAACAGATCACATACCTGGATGGATATTACATACTGTGACAAGTGGGGGAAAAAGAGTTTTTAATCTTTAAAAAAGGGTATCTGTTATTCCACACAGGTGCAGGCCACTGAGTCCACTCTGCTTGTGAAAGTGATGTATAATTAGTCATACTTTCATAATGATTGTACAAAGAGAAGTGAGTGAGGCCAGGACACTTGAAGCAGGCAGTCAGCATCACCTCGAGAAAGGAAGAAAAGGACTTCTGTGACAGGTGGTTGTAGATAGACCTAGATTGATTGGAACTGATTGGAAATATAAATGATAGCTCACACAAATAAATATTGTAGCCATTTTGGAGACGTGGCTGCAGGATAGCACAGATTGGGTTCTGAACACTGAATTGTACTTGACATTCAAGAAGAATATGAACCTAGGCAAAGATGGAGATGTGGCATTGTTAATCAAGGGTCACATTTGGGCAATCGTTAGATATGACCTTGAGGAGGAAGATTAGGGTCGAATTGTTTTGGGTGCAGTTAAGGAATAGTAGGGGAAAGAAGTCACAAACAGGAGTGATGTACAGGCTACCTAACTAACCCCAATATGGAACAAAGTATACAAGAAGAAATATTAGGTTTTGCTGATAAAAGGACAGCTATAATTATGGGTGACTTTAATCTACAAGTAAACTGGAAAAATCAGATTGCCAGTAGTAGCTTTGACGACACTTTCATAAGATGCTTAGAGGGCGGTGTGACAGGATTAATTAATGATCATTGAGTAAAGGCACCACTGGGTAGCAGATACCACAATATTATTGAATTTTACATCCGCTTTGAGAGGGTGGAAGTTACGTCCAAGACTCCTATTTTAAACCTAAATAAGGGCAACGATTTGAGCATGAAAGCTGATGTGAACTGACATAGACCCAGTAGCAATTCAGTGGCAGACATTTAGGAAGATATTTCAGAATGCTTGTTCAGTACATTCCTACTTCACAAAATATTTTAATGGGAGGAGCCAATATCTGTGGCTGGCTAAAAAAGTTGGGGGAAAGCATTAATATTGAGGAAAGATGAGTGGAAGATCAGATGATTGATTCAGAATATAAAGAATGACAGAGAATGACTAAAGGGTTAATCAGAGGAAAGAAGTTAGAGTATGAGGGGAAGCTAGTAAGTGTTTCCACAAGTGTTTAAAAAGGAAAAGAATAAGTAAATTTAGAGTTGGTCCTCTAGAGAGTGAGAACAGAGTTACTAATTCATGATAAACAGAAATGGATGAAGTAAGTAAATAGTTTGCTTCTGTCAATCATGAAAATGGCACTAAGCAAACTATTGGAGCTGCACAGACAAGTCTCTGGATCCAGATGGATTTCATTCAAGCCTCTTAAAATAGTTTGCTAATGACGTAGTAGGTGCATTGGTGTTAATTTTCCAAACTTCCCTAGATTCAGGGAAGGTTCCATTGGACTGAAAAGTAGTAGATATAACAACTCAGTGCAAGAAGAGAGGGAGGATGTAAATAGCGAGTAAGCTGGATGCCTGTCATGGGGACGGTATTCAAATGGATCATTAAAGAGTTTACAGCTGTACAGTTAGAAAATTTCAAGGTAATTAGAAAGAGTCAGCTTAGTTTCATCAAAATCATGTTTAACCATTTATTGGCATTCTTTGAAGGAGGAACGAGTTTGGGATAATGGAAAGTCTGTAGACCTACGTACTTGTATTTCCAGAAGACATTCGATAAGATTACACATCAAAGGTTATTGTGAAAGAAAAAAGCTCATAGTGCAGGGCATCATGATAACATGGATAGGAGATTGGCAGGCAGGCTGGCTTGCAGAAGACATGGATAAATGAGTTTTTGATTGGCAGATGTGATGAGTGGAGTTCCACAGGATTAAATTAGATTAGGGGAGCAAAGGTATGGTAGTTAAATTTGCAGTTGGTACCAAGACTGGTAAGAAAATATGTTCTGACAAAAGTATAAGGAGTTTGCAAATGGGTATAAATAGTTTGGGCAAAAATCAGATGGATGGTATAGAATAGGAAAATATGAAATAAAAACTGAAACAGGAACAAAAACAGAAGTTGCTGGAGAAGCTCAGCACGTCTGGCAGCATCTGTGAAGAGAACATCAGAGTTAATGTTTCGGGTCTGATGACCCTTCCTTAGTAAGTTCGCCGATGACATGAAGTTTGGTGGAGTTGTGGACAGCGAGGAGGGCTGTTGTAGGTTGCAATGGGACATTGACAGGATGCAGAGCTGGGCAAAGAAGTGGCAGATGGAATTCAACCCAGAAAAGTGTGAAGTGATTCATTTTGGAAGGTCGAATTTGAATGCAGAATACCGGGTTAATGACAGGATTCTCCGCAGTGAGGAGGAACAGAGGGATCTTGGGGTCCACGTCCATAGATCCCTCAAAGTTGCTACCCAAGTTGATAGGGTTGTAAAGAAGGTGTATGGTGTGTTGGCTTTCATTGGCAGGGGAATTGAGTTTAAGAGCCGTGAGGTTATGCTGCCATCTCTATAAAACTCTGGTTAGACCACACCTGGAATATTGTGTTCAGTTCTGGTCACCTTATTTTAGGAAAGAGTGGAACCTTTAGAGAGGGTGCAGAGGAGATTTACCAGGATGCTGCCTGGACTGGAGGGCAGGTCTTATGAGGAAAGGTTGAGGGAACCAGGGCTTTTTTCATTGGAGTGAAGAAGGACGAGTTGACTTGATAGAGGTGTACAAGATGAAGAGAGGCATAGATAGAGTGGATAGTCAGAGACTTTTTCTCAGGGCGGAAATGACTGTAACGAGGGGGCATAATTTTAAGGTGAATGGAGGAAGGTATAGGGGGATGTCAGAAGTAAGTTCTTTACACAGAGAGTGGTGGGCGTGTGGAATGCGCTGCCGGCAGTGGTAGTGGATTCAGATACTTTAGAGACTTTTAAGCGACTCTTGAATAGGCACATGGAGGATAGTAAAATGTAGGGTATGCAGGGTAGATTGATCTTAGTAAGATAATAGGTTGGCACAACATCATGGGCTGAAGGGCCTGTACTGTACTGTTCGATGTTCTAGAACAGTTCTTTTTCACAGATGCTGCCAGACCTGCTGAGCTTTTCCAGCAACTTATGTTTTTGTTAGGAAAACATGAAGTTCACTTTGGCAGGAAGTGTGAAAAAGCACAGTAATATTTAAATGCAGAACAACTGCAGAATTCTGTCGGCGGAGGTATTCTAAGGCATGAGTCTTAGTACGCAAAGACCACATCTTGAATGCCATGTGCAGCTACGGCTTCCCTGTTCAATGAAGTGCGTAAATGCAAAGGACGATGTTCAAGGAAGTTTGCTAGTTTGATACTTGGAATGACTAGGTTGTCTTATGAGGGTAGGTTAGACAGGCTGGACCCGTTTCCGTGAATTTAAAAGATTGAGAGGTGATTTGATTTCGGTATAAAATTCTGAAGTGATTTTGAATGATGTTTCCTATTGTGGATCAGTCCAGAAATAGGGGGCAATGTTTTAACAGTAAGATTCACTCTCAGGACAGAGAGGAGTTTTTTATTTCCTCTCTCACAGCATTTTGAGAGTTTGGAATTCTCTCCCTCAGAAAGCAGTGTAGATGATTCATTATATACTTCTTTTGTACAGTAGATTGAATCTCTTGTCTAACAAAAATCTAAGGTTATCAGGAGTAGATAGCATAGGGAATTCAAAAAACAAGTTGATCAGTTGTGATCTCACTGAAAAGCAGAGCAGGTTGAAGAGGATGAATAATCTATTTCTGCTCCTGTTTTGAACATTGTAATGTAATGCCATTGGACAAGTAATGAAGAGACCCAGGCTATTGTTCTAGCAGCCAGGAGTTCAAATCATACGATGGGGTAGCTGGTGGAATTTAAACTGAACTTTTTTTTAAAAACCTGGAATTAAAAGCTATTCTTAGTTTCATTGTTGCCATTACGATCAGTCATTGCTGAATTTTTTTCTGATTCACTGATGTCCTTTAGGACGGGAAACCTCTAACCTTACTTGTTCTGGTCTACAAGTGACAAGAGATTCACAACAATGCAGTAGACACTCCATTGTCCTTTGAAATGGCTAAGCAAGCAACTCAGTTCAAAGTCAATTAGGGGTTGCCAGCAAATTCTGGCCTAACAGCCATCAATACTCACATACCATGAAGAATAAAGAAAAAAGTATGCCCTTACTCTTTCACCATGGTAGTGCAAGGTTTTTTCCAAATAATTATAATACTTTTTTTTAAAGAGAAAATTGGATATGTGTTTCCATGACCCTTTTAGGCAATACATTCCAGATCATAACTTTCCAAGGTATATTTATTTTGTTTCTGTTTTTACTGGTTCTTGTGTCTTGCATCTTGCCTTACTGACCCTTCTACCATGGATGACATTTTTTACGGTTATTTTTCTACTTATTCATTTTTCACTCCATCATAATTCTACTTGATATTGAACAACTCCATGATTATCCCTTGAACTACTCCTACTGTTAAAGTAAATGACCCCAGTTCCCCCAGTGTTTTCTACCAGTATTTTGCAAAGGTTTATCATTTTTTTTTTGTTTTTGTACTGTCAGTATTTATAAAGCCACCAATCACCTGTCTTTTTAACAGCCTTCTAAACTGTACTACCACTTCCAAAACTTGTGTTTATACACCTGAAAGTTTCTCTGCATCCCTCTTTTAAAGAAGTTGTTTATATTGGCTATCCTTGAATAATTTCACACTCCCCTGCCCATTTTAGCAGAATATGTTCTCCTGAAGTCTGTTTAATACTTTCCTCATCTTTACTGAACTTTCTAGTCTTGCAACATCTACAAACTTCAAAATTATTTGCTTCATGCTCAAATGCAAGTTGGGAGGCAATGGCCTAGTGGTGTTATCGCTGGACTGTTAATCCAGAGACCCAGATAACGTTCTGGGGACCTGGGTTCGAATCCTGCCATAGCAGATGGTGGAATTTGAATTCAATAAAAATCTGGAATTAAGAGTCTAATAATGACTGTGAATACATTGCCAATTGTTGGAGGGGAAAAACCCATCTGGTTCACTAATGCCCTTTAGGGAAGGAAACTGCCATCCTTACCTGGTCTGGCCTACATGTCTCTCCAGGCCCCCAACAATGTAGTTGAATCTGAACTGCCCAATGGGCAATAAATGCTGCTTTGTCAATGACACCATTTATAATGGCAAATTCATGTCATTAATATACATCTAAAATGGTGGTCCCAACATTGGCCACCAAGGATTACCACCCAACCCCCTCAGTGACGTCTTGCACCCATACCCAATTCTGAAATTCAACAATTCACAACTACTCCCTATTTTTTGTTCCTCAGTCAATTTCTTATCTGTGCACCCACTGAGCCATGAATCCAAGTCCCTTTAAATCCCATGAATGTTAATGTCTATATACAATATATTGGAGTTACTTAGAAGCAAGACTGACAAATTCCATTGGGTCATGCAGGATCTTCCCCGGACATCCAATCCAATGTGTGCCCCAAAATCCACCAAGATTATCGATTTTTCAGTCCCGCTTGTGGTCAGGATGACTCAGATATTGTTTTGAGAGTTAGCTGGATTCCCATTGGGACAGTTGGGCATGCTGCAACTCTTAAGGACAGATTAGCAAGATTCCAAATACAGAATTCTTTCAAGCGTATCTACAGGTGTTGGGTCAAGATCAGAATCCAGAGCCTTGCTACTACGTGCAAATTCATCCAGGAATGTTTGTGGTTACCAATATCTACCTTTGCCCATGACTCACTCCAGCGTGGAGCCACACTACAACTGTAGATCAAGCAGGAGTGTAGCTGAATACCTTGAAAGTAGGGCCTTCGTTGATGCTTTCTATAAGATCTATTTTGGGATAGCATCTCTACCTGCCTGAAGCAGGATCATGGACATCAGACTGGAAAATTGTTAGGGGGAGGTAAATCAATAAAAGTTACAAGGTTCATCTCTGGTTTTAAACTGTTTAATAATCACAATTCCAGCTGACATTGCAATCAGAAGAGTAAAAAGCAGGAAAGCACCTGACAAAAAGCACCTGCACTTTTGAAATCATCAACTGGCATGAGAATAATTCATAAATATAAACGAGGAAAGTCAATGGCTCCCTCTTGACTCAGCCAATCAGAAGAAGCTGCTGTGCTCTCATCAGGGCATTATAGTTGCTTTAAAGGAAATTGTTACTGAGGTTTTTGGATGTGCTAAAATTTATTTGATGTATTGAAAGTCATCCGCATGAAGCAGGAAGCAACATTGGCAAGGTGTTCATTGTATGAAATCATGGATATGTAGTCTGTAATTTTCCAATCAATAAAGTAATGATCAGAAAATCACGGAGTATAAATTCCCAGTGTGCTTCTACAGACTAAAGGTGAACATACACAGAAGTGAACTTTTTGCGTGAAGAACCTTCCTATATTCTTCCTGAAATAGATGTTAGTTGGAAGTGGTAACCCTTCTCCTAACTCCCAATGCCACTGCTCCTCTGCTCTGTTCTTTCCATTTCCGATGCATCCATTTGGAGCTTTAATACAAAAAAAATACTGACAAGAGATCAAGATGTCCATTAATTTCATTGGGAAAGTATGTGCTGTTCAACCAAAATCTGTTTTCACTCTCTATAGACAAGCTTACATGCTTAGCAATTGGAAATATTTCATGGAACACAGATAATCCTGGCTTCAAATCTTTTAATGAGAACAGAGAACATCCTGCCTTCAAGTTCTTTTTGCTGCGCAAATAGTACATTGTTGCTTCAAGTCTTGTTTCTTCATGTTTCCAAGAACAGCTTTGATACCTGTAATTTATAAATTTCATTTATTCAATTCCAAGGTGAAAAGCACTGTCAAATACTGACTAATGTTATGTATTGTGATGCACAATCCATTTAAGGTATCTCAATTTACTATTGAATCTTGTTTTGTTAAAACTTACAAATTAAAAACTACAAAGGGAGGCTACATTTGTTAACAATTTAATTATATAGTGTTTCATTTACAAAGAATACATATGTAAGTGCAAATCTATTAAAGGTATAAGACTAACAAAGAATGTGCAGCAACACTAAACAATTGGAGATTACAGGCAGAATTCTATTCATTTTGTGTGCTGCATAAATGGCACAAAGTGTGGCTTATACTTTTCTGTGCATTGAAAAGAATAAGCTTACTTATCAGAACACTGGCAACACCATGGAATCTTCATCATAATACTTCCTAGACATCATCTAAGTGATTTGAAAATAAAATTGACATTGCATGGGTATGCCTTGAACACAGTGATAATGACAGAACTACAGCCCTATTGTAATGAATTCTTTATCTTTAAACAAAAAAAAAGCCCCAAAAGTATATTCTCAGTGGGTCAGGGACCATAACTTGAGTATTAAAGGAAGCTCAGCTTTGAACATTTGAACATTACACAAATGCTTTGGGAATGAAAAGCTTGCCATCTTCTTTGGTTCCTCATTCATACAATACTGAGGACAGGTGACTATGGCAGAAGTGCTAGGCAATGCCAATTTGTGTATGCACACAGTGCTTTTAAATTACAGCAGCTAACAAAATAATTACTTTGTCCCAGAGCACAATTGACAGGAGTGCTAAAAAATGCAACAATAGGGGAAAACAGAATTCTGCTTTACACTTATGGTAAAATAGTTCTGTCATGGCGCATACTGTCATATTGTACTGAAAACGTGACAAATTTGAACAAGATATTCAACCGCTTTCTTATTTAAAAGTTCCCTAAGATTTTTCCCATTTCAGTGCAATAAGAACATGCTCATTAAGTTTATATATAATATTGTCCTCTAGAGAGTCATATTCATATTATTGAATGTAATTATATAAGAAAAATCTCTACATTAAAAGTAAATACTAGCAATTTCTCTTTTGCAATTTTGGATTCTTTTGCCATCATAAGTCGTACAGGCAATGTCTCTTTTCTCTATCTGTATTCTTGTATCCACCACAAGCTCCACATTGGTCCATAATACACTTACTCAGGAATGAAGTAACACTGTTTAAACTACTGATGACCTACTTTATTTATACAGTAATTTGATTAAATACTTCAGTCAAATGTCAATGATAACAAAACTCTCATTAGCAATTAAACATGTATATGCAATAATAGGCATACATGTTATTCTCTAGTAATTTGAAGATATTTGCATACAATTATGACAATTTAAGCAACAATTCAGCAACATTTTCAATGAGCTGTATTCTAAATTACTACTGTAGATTAACCAACCCAACAAGCTAAATTGTATATGTTCATACTCTCAAATTCAGGTCAGAATCACACAAAACAAAATACACTGTCTCCAAATACCAATTTCAGTTATTTCCTCTTACAATTATATTACGGCTTAACCATTTATTTAGTACAATGCTAACTTAAAGTCTTGATGTCTTAATTTCTTTCAAAACTGATCAGGTATTGCTGCTTTTAAGACTTCGATTAAAAAGGTTAAACATCACTCATTGATACTTCATTTGGTTTTATTACTAGTAACTATGTTTTCTTAGAACTGGTTCAACAAAAAAAATGGAGTAGTTATAATAAAAAAGATATAAAATGTGGTTTCATTAAAACAGCATTAAACAATGGGGAAGAGGAAATTAATAACTGTAGAGGATTAAGTCAATCCCAAATAAATTATCTAAATTCTGATACAATAAAATGTTAATAGTTTCTGCAAGACGATAATAATTACAATTGGGATACATAACAGGAATTCTGAGACCGGACAAAACTGAAGAGGTGGCTAAATGCAGGGTAAAGACTTTGCAAGTTGGCTTTAGGCTAAAAGAATGGTGAAAATATGTTGACATGGCACTCTGATAACTGTCTAAAACAAATGTAGTGTTTTGGAGTTAGACATTGAAAGATTGACTAGAGATCAAAACAGGAAGTTTATGGTCTATCAACTGAGAATGAAATGAAGCAAAATATTTCAGGGATGTATTTTGCCAATGACATCTCAATGGTTTAATCAATTGTATAAAAGAAAATAATTAGCCCCTAAAAAGACCCAACTACTGAAGCTGAAAATGGACTTGGAGAGTATGTCAAAAGCTTTAGCTTTGAATGGATACAGAGGATTCAGTAAATGCCTTCTTCACCCTGCACAAATAAATGTGGTTATTAAGGCTCAAAAGTGAGGCAGGATTTTTGATGTGCAAGGATGCATCCAATATTTTATTGACCTTCACAGAAGCATCTCGAGATGTCCAGTTAGAGGTGTGCATCTCCATTTGACATAGAATTCAAGCCAAGGGAAAGGAAGATTATAGGAAGAGTTAATTCATTCACAGATAGGATAGTAAAGGATATTTTTCAAGAAATATGCTAATGAGGGTGATAGATATTAATATGTAGCAGGTAAAGACAGACCTCAAATGGCTAGCATATAGAGACCACAAAAGGTAAAATATATTACTTGGTTGAATGCGATCAAATGATAATATTTTGTTTAAAGAATACACCTGATATTGATCACAGTATAGAGTCTTTTTGATATAAATAAACTACATCTCAGATATTCTTCTGCACTATTTTACATATTATTGAGTTGCATGTTTTCCAGTTTAAATGCACCAACAGGACTCCCTTAAATCACCAAAAACTTTCACCACGCCAATTGTGTTTACTCAGATATTTTCCCTTTGGTGCCACAATATCCATTTTTCCCTTTTGTTTGTCCCTATTTCCCAGATTTTGAAGTCGAAAGAGAATAAGATACAGTGGTAGCAGCAGCTCTCCTTTTTTTCAAACTTTCCCGCACTGAATGGCCCCAATAGATTCAAAATAAAAGTCAAAGCTGCTACTCACTATCAGAGATTAAGTAAATAGACAGGAATCTCCTTTACTTAGAAAGCCAATAACATTAAGTACTACTTAGTTCCCCTCAATTTGTGTGGAACAATTATACAGGATGTTTGGGATGCTTTAATCTTTGAGGCTCTAATCTGCGGAACTCAAACAGTACATGTTTAAAACAAACTAAGGTCAGTCACTCCACTTTGGTGTAGTGAGTAATATTTACTGAATAAAGATAGTACATATACCCTTTTTCTGGATTCAAGTTTCCTTGTAAGAGTGGCTAATTCTGTTTTGTTTTTGGGGAGGATGTATGTCTCTCTGAAAGATAGGAAGTACCTAAACAAAATACTTCTCTTTAAATATTTTAGTTTTGCTTAGAACATAGCTCTAGAACTAGTTATTTTTGCCATTTTCATCAAGAACCATTACGATTACATATTATCCCCATATTTGGTTCTTAAATTGCTAAAACAAAGTGGCCTAGAATGATCTGGAAATGTTGTGTGGTTTTGACTTAAATTAGTTTGATAGAACAGACTCCATGTGATTTTTCTGACTGGCTTGACAATCTACCCATAAGACGTAGAACACAGCTTCATTTCATACAGTTAACTACGAGAATGAGAATGAACACGTGCTGCTGAAATTGCCTCTTCAGAAGCTTCTTACTAGGATGGACTTTAAATATAGTTTAGCTGGTGACAATACTCCTGTAATTATTCAGGGACCCTTTTCTGAGGCACATTTGTTATTAGAATGCATGTCTAGTGAAAGACTTTAAGTGTGTATGCTTAAATTTTTAAGATTATTGACTGTAAATGTTACTTTTTAGCTCTTTTTATTGTCATAAGCTTGCTCACAAATTATATTGCTTGTCCAGCAATGAGTTCATAGACACAAGATTCTTCAAACATATAGGGAAATATTTTAAAACAATTATATAAAACATCAATGTAAGCATTAAAGATTCAATTCAAATTTTAAAGTACTTTTTACAGTTCATCTTTTATCTTAAAGCCAAGGACGTGATTGCCTGCGCAAAATAGACATACCTGTGTCTCTTTGCTTTTTCACACCCAGTGAAGTCACAAATGCATTACGTGAATAAGGGAAAGCGGGTTGACTAGTTAATCCATGGTACTGGAAGAGGTAGGGTTGGTTGTAACCATGGTTTTGAACCCCATTTGAATTGAGGTATCGTACTGTAACTGGAGGAAGCAACATCTCTACTGGTTTTAAAACCAACTTCAACTCTTGTTTTGTTCCAGTTGCACTTCCTTTCCTACTAGCAAGCCTTCCCACTGAAGAAGCATTGCTAATATTTTTCTTCACTCGGCTGGGTAAGGTAGGAATAGGCACTCGTTGAGTTAATTTGATACTTGACCCAGTTGCACTAGCTTCACTTTTAGACAATTGCTGGGAGGCTGTGGAGGTTCCATTAGCTGTAATTGATTTCTGTTCATTTAAAAATTCAGTTATCCTTGACTGGGCTCCACTGAAAGATCCCATTTTTGGTGTGATGACTTTGCTTTTCTTTCGTTTTTCTTCCTTTTTCCGAATTCTGGGTGTCTCAACTCCATCCAGTAGTCCCTTTGCAGCAGCTCGAGCCAAAACATCCTTTACAGACACTGCTCCTGATGGATCTCGCTTTAAATTAAGAAAATTACACAGGTCAGAATCCTATTGATAAAATTAGTTGCTGGCAATTTTCATAAACAAACACAATGGCCTGGATGCTTTTCCAAAAGTGCAGCAAATAAGAATCTAGGATATCTAAATCATTCGGATATAAAACCCCTGTTCTTTGTCAAAAACTTGGAATTCCTACCTAGCAGCATGGTAGGAGCATCATCAGGATAAGCACTGCAGAGAGGTTTAAGAAGTCCACACTCATCTTCGATGACTAGAAATGAACAGTAAATGTGGCCTACCATATTTAATTATAACCCAAGAACAAACAGTTCACTGACTAGAGTCATATCTAGTGCAACAGAAAATTGTGATTGTTGGATGCTAAACATCTCAGCTCCAGGATATGATTGTAAGAGTTCCTAGGATCAAAAGTCTTCAGCTGTTTCATCAATGACTTTCCCTGCATTGTAAGGTCCGGAGTGGGGATGTTCACTGATGATTGAAGGGTGTTCAGTACCATCTGTAACATCTTAGATAGTGAAAAACTCCATGTCCGTGTGCAGCAAGATCTGGACAATGTTCAAGCTTGAATTGATAAGTAGCATTCACAGCATTTAAATGCCAGGCAATGACCATCTCCAACAACAGAATTACCATTGCTGAATCTCCCATCATCAATATCTTGAGGGTTAGAGCTGACCAGAAATTTAACTGGACTAGCCATAGAAATACAGTGGCTATAAGAACAGATAAGAGGCTTGGAGTATTGCTGTGAGTGATTTACCTCCTGACTCCTCAAGGCCTACCCCGCAAAGGCACAAGTCAGGAATGTGATAAAGTACTCTTTACCTGCCTGGATTAGTGAGGCTTCAACGACGCTGAAGCAGCACACCACCAATTAAAACAAAGCACCCTGCTTGAATGGCACCTCACCCAGCATTCACTCCTTCCGCCACTTTTGGTGTGGAGTGGCAGCAGGACACACCAATCACAAAACGCAATGCAGCAAGTCAGGAAGCCTCTTTCAACAATAGCTTCCAAATTGCAAACAACCACTCAGAAGAACAGTAGACCCATGGGAACACTACAATCTGCAATTCATACATCACCCTGACATAGAACTACAACACCATTCCTTCTCTGTTTCAGGTTCAAATCCTGGAACTTCCCTTCCTAGCAGCATTGCGGGTGTACCTACACCACATGGACCGCAGCTGCCCAGGGAGATACTTTCTCTCAGGCAATTAGGGATGAGCAATAAATGCTGACCTTGCCAGCAATGCCCACAGCCCATCGCCAAAATATTACAATTTAAAATAAACCTTTTTACCAATAAGAAAACAATAGTGAGAACATACTTTTTCAAACTGCCTGTTCCAAATTAATTTCAAAGAAAAAAAATAAATAGAACCTTACTTACAGCATGTTAGCAGATTTTCTGTCCTCCCTTTCTTGCTTTAACCTGAATCTTTACCATGGTGCTTCTTACCAGACTATGAAAATATTTGTCAGCTAAGCACTACAATTAATGCTCACTTTATTCACCACAGTTCTAAAATTTTAAGAGACTGGTCTACAGTGCCTGTCTTTTAATTACTACACCAGCACAAGGTAAACTGATAACTTTCTCCTGTTAATCTCATTTTAAGAAATAGGAATACGCTGTTTAACACACTGCGACTGCTCTGCTAGTCGATAAAATCACGGCTGATCTGATTATGGCCTGAACCCTACTTTCTTGCCTGCCTCCCATAACCTTTGACTTCTTTTTTGAACAAAAACCTGTGTAAATCAACTTTGAATGTATTGAATAACTCAGCCTCTTTTGCTCTCTGAGGTTAGAATTCCTAAGTCTAATGATGCTCAGAGAAAGCCATTTTCTTCATCCTTGCCTCAAAAGCTGTCTTGAACCACTACAATCTTTGGGGTATAGATACACCCACAATGCTATTAGGGAGGAAGCTCCAGGATGTTGAACTAGCAACAGTGAAGGAATGGAGATATAGTTCCAAGTCAGGATGCCTGGATGGTGCTGAGCTTCTTGAGTGTTGTTGAATTTGCACTCATTCAAACACTCAATGAATTGGCATGGTAGGTAAAAGGGGAAGAGTAGTGGGTGGATGTAGGTGCTAAGTTGACACAGGTATTTGAAGAGCTATGGTAGATGGGTAAAAGGCATTAGATTGCATGGGTTGGCGAGGGGACTGCGTGGGGAATTTGAGGGTGGAGGAATATTTTATATTTTCCCCTATGGAGAGATATGGTACATCTTTCGATCTGGCCTGAGGACAGTGTTGCTGGCAGTAAGGCACTTGTGGGTTTATGAAAAACACATTTGTACATTACAAGTGCATAAACTCCATAAATTTAGCAAAGGTTTGAAGAAGCTGTCCAAAAAAAAGTGTGACATTTTTAAAAGTCTAAGATATTGAAACCATTATAGAATTTGTGCTGAGCCACTGATTTTCCAAAGTACCATTTTAACAATGGTGTGCCTACTAATGGGAAGCTGTTCAGTGGAAAGGAATGGCACTGTGGTTAGCACTGCTGCCTTACAGCACTAGGGACCTGGATTCAATCCAGCCTTGTGCAACTGTCTGTTTGGAATCACAGAATCCCTAAAGTGTGGAAACAGGCCATTTGGCCCAACAAATCCACACCGCCCTTCCGAAGAGCATCCCACCCCACCTGGACCAATCCCCCTATCCTTTCCCTGTAACCCTGCATTTCCCATGTCTACCCCACCTAATCTACACATCCCTGAACACTGCAGACAATTTAGCATGGCCAGTCCAACTAACTTGCACATCTTGGACTGTGGGAGGAAACCCACGCAGACATAGGGAGAACATGCAAATTCCACACAGACAGTTGTCTGAGGGTGGATTTGAAACCGGGTCCCTGGTGCTGTGAGGCAGTAGTGCTAACCATTGAGCTACCGTGCCACCTAAAATCTGGAGTTTGCACATTCTCCCTGTGTCTGTGTGGGTTTCCTCCCAGTGCTCCAGTTTTCCCCCACAGTCCAAAGATGTGCAGGTTAAGAGGATTGGCCATGCTAAATTGCCCATATATCCAAGGATGTGTATGTCAGGTGGATTAGCCATGGGAACTGCAGGACTACAGGGACAGGATAGGGGAGTGAGTCTAAGTGGGATACTCTCTGGAGAGTCAGTGTGGACTTGTTGGGCTGATTGGCCTGTTTCCACATTGTAGGGATTCTATGATATTAAGCACTTAAGCAAAATGTTTGTTTACATAAGTCATTGAACACTTGAGAAATGTTTGCTTTCATAAGGGCTTGGTTGAAACAATTTCACTGTATTGGGTGTTTGCATTGTATGAATGGCAGCATGTGTCTTTCAATTATGCTGGAATCCAAAGGCTTCATCCTCCTGCTTAATGCCCATGGCAATAATAGGCAAGTTGACATGGGAGGGAAGGACAAAGGGTACTAAATAGGAGGTATGAGTTGGAATAGGAGCAATAAAGGATGATGGGGAAGATTGTGGCACATGGGGTATACAAAGCCATAGGAGATAGGCACAGGGCGGCAGAGGCTACGAGAGGCCAGGGAAGGTGAGTGCAAGAGCGTAGGTTGGCATGGAGGTATGACAAAGGTAGATGTACGTAGGGTGATTAGGGGGAATGAGGGGGACATCATCGTGGGTGAAGGGACATAGATTGTCATTGTTGGGTATACAGTGAGAGGGTAAGAGCTGGAGGGATGTTGTCTAGGCAGAACTTCTGCCCACCCCACCTCAAGAACTGACCAATCTTTTAAAATATTCCTGGGTCACTTGGCCCAACTTCTCATGCAGAACGTCCCCAGACCAAAAATGCAAATTGTGGAAAGCCATTTTTTAATTTTAAGGCCATGAAACTGGGATTTCTCTTGGCTTTGTGCCCTGACTCAAGAATAAAATTTGTGGCCAATGACTGAAGTCTTCAAAGTGTTAAATTGGAAAAAAAAATTTGGTTTATCTGTTTGATAACAAAGTCAGCGGAATAGTTGAGAAAGAGAATACTTTGGTAGAGTGAGTGTCAACGTATTCATATGGGACTTGACATACTTTCAGATGATGCTGTCAAGGAGCAGCTTACAGATGACAAGCGTCACAACCATGTGGAGTGTCATTTGTGACTGTCATGAGAGTTTGTTTTAAAACTAAAGTGGAACATGAAAGAAAAAGAAGCTGTTCTTAAAATGAGCTGATTTGTCAGTACCAATTTTGCACATCTGCCCAAGATAAATTTCACTCCCGAATATAGTCAAATATTTGGATTTAGAGTTAAATGATATTTTAAAAATGTTTTGTTAAAATGCTTTACCACTGCGTCATGTGTCAGGACCCACAGAGAGGCAAGAAAAGGCAGTGTAAGACCTGATACATTAATCAAACACCAACACGGTTGCAAACACCATGCCACAAAATGATGCAGTTTAACTTCCACCACATGCACTATTAGTCCGTGTGAAACTTTCAGACAACCCAATGACTATTTCATTATACATACTCAGATTTCAGAGCAACTTACAATGAAAAGCCTTGGGTATAAAACATTGAACTACTGAAAAACAAGTGTGGTCACTGACTGACACACAGACAGATATAGCAGGCATCAGTGATGGTCTTGCACTTTTATTGTAGCAGTGAGTTGACAATTTGCAACCAGGTCATGTCATTTTAGAAAGAGAACTAAAGGGAAAACCATTCACACGTGCATCAGGTATCTGTTTAATTAATATGCAATGTATTAATTGATATTGCAGTGCTAACCGACAGTGAATAACAATTAGAGTAAGTAGAGGAAACTTTCATCCTGTTGTTGCAATTTGTCTGTGAGCATGTTAGCTCGAGATGGCAATGTTCTGAACCTATCACCCAGTTCCTGCACAGTAAACTGAGGCACTTCTCTTAAGACACTGACAGGGAGAGATTTGCATTGGCCTTTTAATCTCTGACCATCTCTTTCCATCCAGCACAACCCCCTAACCCACAAATATAACCAAAATA